CCTCTCACCCCGGCTTCATGCGGGAATGTTTGCCTGGCTGGGGACTGGAGTGGAAGCCATTCTCAGGATGAGATAAGAGAAGGTCACCAGCCATAGGAGGTGGCCGGGCGCCTCTGCTACAGACCCCTTCCTTGGTCTCAGACAGTCACTTAAGCCTCGGGGTCCCGGTCTGTGATGAGAATGCCCTCTTCCTACTCCACGGGGGAGGAGGACTCAACGAGGTCAGGCACGGGAAGGCTGCGCTTGGTGCCAACGTAACACGTGCTGCTGCGGATGCTGAAGCGAGGGTTGGGGGCCTGGCCGGGATAATAACTCTGAACCCTGACACGTAGGATCAATGCTGGTGATTAGATCCCCAGACCGCTGCCTGCGGACAAGCCCAAGGCCTAATGCTTGGGCCGGGGCGCAGGCACTCGCAGTTAGGGCCCCTCCACACTCAGGGAATGCTTTCCTGGAGCAGGAGAGAGGCCAGGGAAAGTGGAGAAGAGAAAACCCAGCACTTTCTCCTCTGTGCGCCCCGCTCCTCAGCTCCTGGAGGAACTGAGCTGCGTAATACAATGGGATTTAATAAAATGCCTTTAACTCCCAAAGTTTGTCTGCTGCCAGCTCCTTAATTAAATTGCCCAATGCCGCTCTGCAATGGCAGCACAAACTCCTGTGTTTAAAGAGCACGGTGTTGCCATGGCACCCCCGACAGACAGGGCCAGCGGGTGTGGAGGGGCATACAGATGAGGCGTGGGGGTGGCCCCTGCCCACAGTGTCCACCCCATACCCTGCGTGTACACACACACACACACACACACACACACTCACACACACACACACACTCACACACACACACACACACACACACACACACTCACACACAATCAGGCAGGCTCTGATTTCCTGGGAAAGGCTTTATCCTCACTAGGAATGCTGAGCCTGGACCTTGCAAAGGGAGACTCAGGGTGGCAATGGGGGCATTTGAGCAAAGCAGAGCTGGCCAACTGGTATGGCTGTGGCAGGTCCCAGGCCCAGCACTGGGCAGCACTCAGGACCCTGGGGGGCCTGGGGCAGCTGTGTGTCTCATCTCCCCAGCCCAGGCTCTGAGAGGAGCAGCCCCTCCCCAGGGGCACGACGCAAATACACTGTCTATGCCTGCCTCCACTGGGGAAGGGAGGGACACACTGGACCAGTCTGATTGGCTGGATGGAAGGAGTATGTGATTTCACACGTGGAGGGTGGAGGGCAGAGGATTGCACTTCTTTCTGGATTTTTCCTTCAGATGCAGTGGCTCTCAGTCCAGGCTTCCCATTAAAACCAGTTGGGGGATTTTTTCACCAACATTTTATGAAAATTTTCAAATATACAGCAAAGTTGAAAGAATTTTACAGTGAGCAACAATATGCCCACCATCTACCAGACCCTACCATTAACCTTTTCCTAGACTTGCGTTATCACATCTCTCCATCTGTCCCTCAATCCATCTTATTTTGGGTGCATTTCCAAGTAAATTGCCGACATCAGTACACGTCATTCTAAATTCTTCAATATGCATAACTATGGACTTTAATTTTGTTTTACAGGGTTGTTTTTTTTCTTTTGATATAAAATTTACATACAAAGAAATACTGAAGAGTTCATTGTGTGTTTTAAATGCCAAGTCCCCAGAGATTGGCTGAATTGGTCTGGAGAGGGACAAGGGCAGCGATTCTCATTTTTATCACCCCCAAGCAAAATGTGGAACTCCCCTGGCCACGCCCTTTAAGCCCCAGCCCCTCCCACCAGGTGCTCTCCGTGTATGCCGTCCACCTCCAAGTGCACGCTTTGTTTATTTACTGTGGCTCTTGGTGTCCAAGCACATCCATTGTTCTCGTGTTCGCATTATAGAGGGGGTCCTTGTGTCGTGTCTATTTCCCAACAGCAGAAACCATATCCGGTTGAGATGCCGTGCGTGTCGCAGCAATGAAGCCATATACACTTTATTTTGCTTATCAGAGTGCTTGTGAGGACTCGGACTGTGGAGTGGATGGAAAAGACAATGAAGCTAGTGGAGGGCATGCCGAGTTTTCGATGGCAGGGAGCACAGGGTCCTGGTGGTCACAGCTGAGGACAGCGGCAACAGTGGGTCTGGTGCTATTGATAGAGGTGATGGGCTGCAGGTGTGGTCACCAGGTGATGCGTTGTGCAGGTGGTCATCGTGGTGACACTGCTGACGTCACCCTCTGAGGGCGATGTGCAGGCAGATGCAGCCCACGCTCAGCCGCCCTGTTCCACTGCCAGGCCCGGCCCCAGGAAGGTTTATTTGGGATGAGCAGCCCTGGGAGCCACTGGACTTGGGATGCCAGCCTTCTGATGATCCATAGGGATTTTATTTGCTGCCTGTGTGGTTTCCTGTCCTTCCATACCGGGTACACTCGAGGGAGGACAGAGGAAAGTGGCCCCTCCCTTAACCCAGGCAACAGGGGACAGAGCGATGCAAAGCCAGTGCTTAACTGGTGTCCCTCTGAATTGTTCTGGGCTACTGGGCTAAGGAGGGAGGTCCAAGGATGAGGTTGGGCTGCTAAGAATTTTTTTTTTTTTGAGTATATAAATAAGCCCAGAGAATGATGCTGACCTCCAAGTGCACGCTTTGTTTATTTACTGTGGCTCTTGGTGTCCAAGCACATCCATTGTTCTCGTGTTCGCATTATAGAGGGGGTCCTTGTGTGGTGTCTATTTCCCAACAGCAGAAACCATATCCAGTTGAGATGCCGTGCGTGTCGCAGCAATGAAGCCGTATACACTTTATTTTGCTTATCCGGGTGCTTGTGAGGACGAGGACTGTGGAGTGGATGGAAAAGACAATGATGCTAGTGGAGGGCATTCCGAGTTTTCGATGGCAGCGAGCACGGGGTCACAGCTGAGGACAGCGGCAACAGTGGGTCTGGTGCTATTGATAGAGGTGATGGGCTGCAGGTGGGGTCACCAGGTGATGCGTTGTGCAGGTGGTCATCGTGGTGACACTGCTGACGTCACCCTCTGAGGGCGATGTGCAGGCAGGTGCTTATCCGCCCACTGATACCCACCTGGGAAAATGTTGGTTGTCACATGAACCGGAGGTTCGGTTTTCCCACCGGAGAACCCCAGGGTTGCAAGGCGCAGCTCCTTCCGAAATGCTGAGGCCACCCGAGAGCCTTCACCCCCAAAGCCTGGAAGAGGCGGACTGCGCGCTGCAGCCCACGCTCAGCCGCCCTGTTCCACTGCCAGGCCCGGCCCCAGGAAGGTTTATTTGGGATGAGCAGCCCTGGGAGCCACTGGACTTGGGATGCCAGCCTTCTGATGATCCATAGGGCTTTTATTTGCTGCCTGTGTGGTTTCCTGTCCTTCCATACCGGGTACAATCTTGAGGGAGGACAGAGGGGAAGTGGCCCCTTCCTTAACCCAGGCAACAGGGGACAGAGCGATGCAAAGCCAGTGCTTAACTGGCGTCCCTCTGAATTGTTCTGGGCTACTGGGCTAAGGAGGGAGGTCCAAGGATGAGGTTGGGCTGCTAAGAATTTTTTTTTTTTTGAGTATATAAATAAGCCCAGAGAATGATGCTGAAAAACACCTTTAAAATAACGTTGCCCAACCCTTTTGTTTTACAGATGAGAAAACCTGGGCCACGTGGGCAGCAAATAAAATCCCTGTTGAGAACAACAGTAAAATACCCTCGTGTACATATGTCTCTAATGATGCAAAGACACCCCACGCCTGTGGTCTGACTGGAGCTTAGACCAGCCCTGGGAGCTGCCGGGAGCTTCCTGCCCGTCTGACGATGGCTCCCGAGTCCCTTCCAGATTCTTCCCACTAGCAACGAGCCAGGTGATGTTTTGTAGCACGCGCAGCTCATCGTACATATTTCACACTCGTGCTCTCATGTATCTGTGCCGCATCTCTGTGCAAAAGACTTCTGTCCCCACTTCTCGGAGGAGAAAACGGAGGCTCCTGGAGGTTAAGCATCTTGCCCAGCTGGCACAGCTTCACTGTGCAGCGTGGAACTAGAACCCAGGATCCCTGTGTTCATGTCCTAGGGTTGCCATACACAAAGCACTACAGCCACGAGGCTTAAATACCGGAAATCCGTTGTCTCACAGCTCTGAGGTCAGAAGTCTGGAATCAGGGCGTCCATCAGACCGGGCTCCCTCTGAAAGCTGGAGGGGAGACTCCCTCCTGGCCACTCCCAGCTTCTAGGGGTGTCTCCCTTCAGCTTGCAGCTGCAGCCCTCCCGTCTCCGCCTCTGTCCCCACATGATTCTCCCGGTGCCTGTGTGTCTGCATCCAAACTTCCCTCCTTTTACACGGATGCCAGTCATTGGGTTAGGGCAGTGGTTCTCCACCTTCTGGCCCTTTAAATACAGTTCCTCATGTTGTGACCCAACCATAAAATGATTTTCGTTGCTACTTCATAACTGTAATGTTGCTACTGTTATGAATCGTAATGCAAATATCTGATATGCAGGATGGTCTTAGGCGACCCCTGTGAAAGGGTCGTTCGACCGCCAAAGGGGTCGCGACCCACAGGTTGAGAACCGCTGGGTTAGGGCCACCGCAATCCAGTATGATCTCATCTTAACTTGGTCCCATCTGCAAAGACCCCATTTCCAAATGAAGGTCACATTCACATGTACTGGGAGTTAGGGCTTCAATATATCTTCGGGGGGAGGAGGGGTCACAGGTCAACCATACCCTCCCTGACCCAAGCCAATGGCCTCCCACACGTGCAGTTTGCATCCTGTGCCCCATCCTGTCCATTTCCCCCTCCCCATCTCTCACCACCGAGGACGAGGCGTTCCCCTCTCCTGCAAGACAGGGAGCTGGGAGCACTTTTCATCTTCTGCTTCCCCAGTTACCAAGATGCTAAGGTAGAATCATGAAATACAGTTGGGCCTTTTGTCCTCTCTATTCCCAGACAGTAAAAATCATTAAGGCTTGCTCTTAATTAGTTTAATTTCGAGACTTCTCAATATTGATTTAACCTCCACTCCTTTGTACTTGCTGCAGGCACTGAATTATGCCTGTTATTGATCATGGATGGAAGCGTTTCCAGCCACCAGACTCGGGGGCGCTGGGAGCCACGGGTCCCCAAGCAGGCGGGGTTGGGGGGGCGGGGGGTGCTGGGCTCGGGAAGCGGGGACCAGCTCCGGGAGAGGGAGCCTCTAGGCCAGATTGGTACGGGCCTTCCCCCGAGGAAGGGCTGCTCGGCTTAGGCCAGGGGCCAGTCTCTTTCTCTTGGGTTGGCCCAGGCTCAGGGAGTTTGAATGAGAAGTCAGCTGGCAGTCGCCCAGTCCCATTCCAGGCCCGAGGAGAGCTGGGCAGGGGGCCCTGCAGGAGGGTGATGTGGGGTCAAGATTTAGAGCACAGGCTATGGCACCGGCCACCACCAAGCTGGAGTCCTGGCTCGACCAGCTGCACGTCCTTGAGCATCTCACACCTGTGACGTGGGCCAGTCACCCCATGTCAGTGTTGTTGTGAGCATTCCGTGCAGCCGCTCAGGGGAGGCCCCAGCCCAAGGCCTGGCTCCGTCCTCAGTCAGTGGCTACCATGGTCACTGCTGCTGTCCCACTGGGAAGAGAAGGCCTAGACTTGGCATCACACTCTATCTTCTAGCCCCGGCCCCATTACTCACTGGCTGTGTGATCTTGGGCAACTCATTTAATATCCTTTCCATTGAAATGGGAGTAATGGCACCTCCGACCTTGCAGGGCTGTTGCGAGAATCACATAGGATGGTGGATATGGAAGAATTTAGATTGCAAGGAGCATCCACTCCTGACGGATTATGAGCATTGATGGCTATAGTGGTCACTGCCCTACATGCGCCCTTTGGCGGCCCTCTGCCTGCACTACCGTGTCCAGACCGTTCAGCTCTGGCGCGCTGCTCCAGCCTCTTCCCCACATCAAGCACACGGGACCTCGGGGCAGCCACCTCGGAATTCACGCCCTGCGTTTTACCCAGGCTGCCTCCAATATACGCACGGTGCCTTCCGCCATCTGTGCGCCTGCTGACCTGCTGACTCAGGCACTTCCCTTGTGGTTTTTTTAAAACAGCTTCAGTGAACTTGTGAATTTGCATTCCATCGAATTCACCCATTTCTAGTGTGCAATTCAATGACATTGGGTAAAGTTGCTCTGATTTTTTTGCCCAACTTCCCACCTGAAGCAGAAGTGTGTTCTCTCCTCCCTTGTGCCCGTTGCCCTTGGTAAGTGCCTGTGACACCGGCTCCAATGCTGTGGAAGAGCGGTTTTTTATCTGTGCCTTCCTGCCTGCCCTCCCATAATCTTGTACCCCTACACCCACATCACACCAGCATCCAATCAGGGCTCGGTGAATGCTCATTGTGTGCACAGTGGAGGTGAGGGGGGGTTCTGGAAACTCTAGTCTTAACTGTCAGGATAATGATAAGAAGCTCATCATGTATATATACATATACACATACACATACACATACACATACACATACACATACACAATTCTAATCTCAGCTTGGCCATTATCTAGCCCAGCAGATCTCAAATGGGAGCAGCTGGAAGGTTTGGGCAAACCTGGGCCTGGCCCCTCCCTCAGAGAGTCTGAGTCGGGAGGGGGTTGGGTCCGAGAACCCGCATTTCTAACAAGTTTGCAGGTGATGCTGATGCCGGGGCCCAGGAACCACCGTTTTAGAACTGCCTGCCGCTCTGGCCCAGCCCTCTCATTACATGGGTGAGGAGCCAAGGCCTGGAGAAATGAGAGGACATGTTCCCAGTCGGTCCCGAAGCCCAGACTAAAACCCAGGCCTGTGTCCTGGCCTCTGCCTCCCCCTCTGGCTTCAGAGAAGCAGGCTGAGGGGTGCAGAAGGTGGACAGAGCTTCCCCTAGGCCTGGGCCCACCTGGGGAGGGGAGGTGGAGGAGGGGCTGCTGAGGGAGAGGTCAGCGGGATTGGAGAGGGGACCAAAGGCGGGGGACCAGGTGAAGGAGTGGCCAGGGCAGGCCTGCAGGAGGAGGTGAGGGATGACAGCCATTCTCCCCGCAGTTGGAGGCGGGGGAGGGGGGAAGAGGGTTGGGAGGGGCCGCTGCAGGCCTCAGCTGCAGCCATTCATCTCGCAGGCTGCCTGAGACAGCTGACAGAGGGAGCAGGCGCTGAGCCCGGCAGACACCAGGCTCCTTCCGCCAGCGATTTATCTCTGGGCTTCATCTGGCAAACCTGCTGATGAAACGAGTCTCCTTCTCTCTCCGCCTCATCAATTTTCATTCTCATTTCATTTTCCTTTTCCGTTAGAAGATGTTCAGCCTTTCTCCTTGTTTAACTGGCCTCCCCATTTGATCCACTGCCCATTCTCCTCAGCCATCCAGGCCCCCAAGCCTCTCCCCAACATCTCCCCCCAGCTCCACCCCCATGCCCTGGGGGTCCCTCCCTCTGTGCACAAATACTGGAGAGAGAAACCCAACGTACCCCCCCCCCCCCCCCCCCCCCCCCCCCCCTCAAACAAGACTGGAAGATCTATGGTGCTTCCCTTTAGTTCTGGAGCAGCTCACAGTCTGAGAGAAGAGATGAGCATCATACTGGACTGGATTCCTAGAGGATTCGGAAGGGGTGAGGGGCTGATTAATTGGTGATGGCTGTGGTCAGGGACAGCTTCCGAGAGGTGAGGTATAAACTGAGACTTCAGAGATGGGGAGACATTACACACATGAGAAAGGGAACTTCTAGGCAAGGGCCCTGCATGTGCAAAGGCACTGGGGCAGCAGAGTATTGCTTGCACCTCTCTGAAGGCTCCCCCTGCCCTTGCATCTAGCTCCTAGGAACCCACTGTGCCCAAAGGGATGTCCTGGGGCCCTGGCTTCCAGAGGGAGCCTTTTGCGAATGCTACCAGGTCTGCCCCACACCCCCACCTGATTCTAGAAAGAACAGGGGGGATTATAGGGAGGGAGGCTGGAGGGCTCATGGATCTGGGTGTGGCTGCCCCTCTGGCTTCTGACTGGCCAAGGTGGAATGCTGTCAAGCTGGGACACTTAGCTCTGCCGGAGGGACCTCTTCCCCTTCCAGTGTCTGTCTGGTGGTCTAGAAGCCAGGGATTGTGCCTCAGCAAACAGAGGAGGATGAAAGGGAAGGGGGCTCTACTGAGCTCCAGGCACTTTATGGACATCCCCCCGTGAGGCAGGAGCACCTGAGTGAGGATGTCCAAGGCCACAGAGCCAGCACCAGGATTCACACGGGAACCACTAGCCTAGCCCTCCCGGG